CAAATCAAATTTAAAGAAACCCCTTCTCACTTCTCTCTTCTGTTTTTATTTTTCTGTGGATGTTGAGGCAAGATTGAAAAATAGCACATTAATAACAGGTCTTTCAGGTTCTTTATGTATTGACAGGTTGTCTTGAGTGTCCTATAGCTACATACAACTACAAGTGGTGCTTACTAGATTTAAGGGGCTTTGAAGTTTGAAAAAATATGCTAATGAATTATAGCTCAGTGAAGTGCCTATTTTGTTAGTGTCCAGGTCAACTAATGTTGTTTTCACCAATCCTCTTAAACTGGCTACATGGATGCAGACTGTAGAGTGGTGTAAAAATTGGTAGAGAATTTTTATCGCATAGACTTATGCATTGGCGGACACATTGTTCCCTAAAACCTGCAGATGATGAGCGCCATACATTGGAGGACAATACCTTTTGATACCAAACCAACAGAGGTCGCTATGTAGTCCAAGAACAATGAACTTGCTAATGTTGCTAGCGTGCTTGAGGATCTCCAGCAGCTTAGTATGAACAAGGATGAGGATGCATCTCCGGTTGACCATGTTGCTCTCTTGTGTGAGACAGAAAGCCTAGACCACCTTTTATGTGTCCGAGATGCTGCTGCCCTCGGGTCGGCTGATGAAAGACCTAGGTTTAGGATAGGTAAGTGTCCAGCTCCACCCATCTTGCTATCTGATCAACCATGACTTGTTCTATGAGTTGGAGCAAAGAAAAGCAAGATGGGTCAGTAAACCTGATGGATCCATCAGATATTCAGATCTGAAACGATGCAAAATCTGATCCCAAGAGAGTGCACCGGAAGCTGATGTTTGGCTCTCAGCTAAAAATAATGTAACTAAATCATTAGAGATTTTGTTCTAAATGATAGCTTGGTATCTAATTATGATATGTTGTGTTTCCTAGGTTGGGCTTTTCTATGTTGTTCGTGGCGAGAACACCTCAGATTCCGGTTTAGTACTGGTTTCAAAAGTTCAGTTCCGATGAACAACAATACTTGAGCTTATTGCTGTTTGCTATTTTTTAAAAAAAATTGTATCCTGATGCATAATCCAACACTTGATCCAAGGCCAGCTTCTGCTGAGCGAGTGATGCACAGACATCTCTGCATCTGAATCCTTAACATCCTTAACTGTATCTCTCGGTGTTTGACGTTGTTGAACTGTATCTCTTTTTCTTCGTATTAGATGATGAAACCTCCAAACAATCTTAGGACACCTTCTGACACAGTGCTGGTAGCTCTGTGAGTGAGAAGGCAATTCTTTTCTGATGATAATGCAATACTTATCCTGTATAAAAAATCAACATAATGGTGCTTTATAGAACTTATTAATTAGTCTTCTACCCTGTTCAGGTTATACAAATTATGTTTTTGATGGACCTTTAAATTATGTTCTTGATGGACCTGCTTCAACTTAAGGAGTTTACCATTTCAGGTTAGCTGCGCCAAATGATGCAAAGATCTATTAATTGTTTCAAATCTGTGTGCTCTTGCCTTGTATGTTAAAAGATTTCAGCTACATGTGCGTTTGTAGGCCAATGATGCATTTGGAGACTGGAAGGAGAAGTCCAATCAGAATCGAAAAATACATAAATCATAGGAGGTCAAGAGCCACAAATTTGTAGTCTCAAATATCAGTCAGGGCTTGGTAGGAGCCTGATTGGTGGAATCCTAAGCTGGAGAGAGTAAAACCCATATGTCTAATGCTGAAACGACCATGTATCCAAACCTGTCCTGTGAGGTGTGTCCAGGAATATCTGTGACACCGCCCAGAGCTCAGCGCGTGCTCCTTCCTCATTGAGGAATTCCAACTGAGGGATCAGCAGCTATGCCTGTAATATTGACATCATACATCACCCTGTGAGCCTGTGACCATTACACGCCTTTACCAGACATTTGCTCCTTTCAAAGAACCTGTTTTCAGAAGTTAAGCCTCATTCACTGATGTGCTCACGCTTCAGCATTCCACTGAACAAGATATTCTCATTTCTTGTTTGGAAGGTTTAGCCAAATAAGCGAGCTACCATTTTGAGTTATACCTTCATGATAGGTATACCAAGTCAGTTGTTAATGTCTTATAGCCCTCGGGAGAAAAGGCTTTGTTGTTGTTGTTGTGAGGGACCTAGAGGAAGAACAACCCTGAGACTAGCTAAGTGGTTCTGGAGTTACAAGATCAATCTGGTTGGCACTTGAAGACTCTAGTTGTAGCCAAAATACCCTACATTCTGAAAGGCTCCATGCAATGGTTCTCCATACCGTCTCATTTTTTCCTTAATAAAAACTAAAAAGGAAAAAGAGATAATAGAAGAATGCCATATAGTTGCTGTTTTTTTTTTCTGATTCAACACCCGTGATTTACTATTAAAGACAGTTGTTTTTTAAAGGCAGGTATAAGTTGTTACTTAAAGGCAAATATATATAGTATCAAAACTATGTGGGGCTAATATTTTCGCATAGTTTTCTTAAAGGGAGTTCAACCCTCAAATTTCATCAGTTTGAAACAAACCTCAGATGCAGACAACGTCCAGAATAGCAGATAATAGCTACCTAAAAGAAAATTTTAAAAGGAATATATTGCTGACACCATGGGTACTGTCTTCAAAAGGCGATGGCAGCTATGCTTTACCGCATGAAGCCCAAACTTCACTATAGGGGGGAGATGCTATCACTGCTGATGGTAGTTGCCGCTGCCTGATGAGTGGGAACATAGGCATATGATTTGCCAGCAGGGTGTTGCTGTGAATTCCCATGGTAGCTGGCTCCATACCAGTTGTTGAAGCAATGAGGTGCCTGGAAATAGAAACTTCTAATTAAGCTCACTGTAGTATAAAAGCAGTACAGTATAGCAGACATGAATAATTAAATCTTTGTAACCTATTATTTGAGGATGAATTAAAATCAAGCTTATTCTAATGTTTTAGTTCCTTTTGGAATTCTTTTCACGTTTATAAACATGGTGCCCTTGATTTTTTTTAAAAAAACTTTCGAATCACACAACACAGTAGCACATTAAACAATTTCTGGTAAGAATATTATATGAAAGTAAGCTTTAATAAGAGGATATTGTCTTTTCTAAAGCTGCAAGTCAAATGAGGATATGGGTTCATATCAGAATAAGGTCCTGTTTGGATCTCATTCTATCTCATTTTCATAGTAATTCTAGATAGTGATTTAGAATTTGGACCTCATGGGGTAAAATGAGGACTGTTTGGATCTCATTTTCGTTGTGATTATTACCTTCGCATAGCGAAAAATCTCCAAATAATAGGTTTGGGTAGATAGTCCAAGTGTTTGGATCTCATTCTCATTTTCCCACCTCATTCTCGTTTTTCTTAGGAGATCCAAACAGAACCTAAGCTTCACAATTTCTTTTACCCCATGAGGTCCAAATGCCATGCTAGGTGGTCCAATGCTCCAACAGTAGTCGCTAATGCAACAGCGATTGATAATTGCCCTAGCTATGTATGTAGGGTGTTGAAGCATTGGCGACGGCGACTGGAGTAGCACATTCTAAATTTCTAATTAATGTTCCTGTATGATGAAAAATAGGAACATGGGAAACAGGCCATAGGAAATACGACATACCAAATTGTTCTGATTGGGCCATGATAACCCCCTGTAGCCCATGGTTAAAATCTGCGACATACAATTTTATGTCTTTACGATCTGAGCTAAGGGCATCTGCAATGTTTGGAATTGACCACTTTTCTATATAATGATGTGACATCATTTGTTAGAACAAGTCCCAATGTATTGAACCAGCCTCAGATCGATAGGTGGGTTCCACCAGAATAAATAAAAAAAAACTAGCCTCCTCTCTTTCCCATGGCCACCCACTTCTCCCTCCCCATTTGGCTGGTCGGCTAGAGGCCTCGCCCCTTCTCCCCACCAGCTCCCCGTGGTTTGTCCCCTCCCCTCTGCACCACCACGACTAGGGACAAGCACGGCGCCCCACCCACCAGCGCCCTACGGCTCCGCCCACCTCTCCAGCTGATGCTCACCTCAGCGTCCTGCTTGCCGGTGTCCCCGCGGCTCCTCCCCAACCAGTCGGACTCCTTCTCCGACAGCACAACACGGAGTCTTGAGCATGGGCATGGAGGCAGAGTTGCAGGGACAGAGTTGCAGCGGACGCTGAGTCACGGCAGTGCTCAATCGTGGGTGCTAGAGGGAGGATGCGGCGATGCCGAAGGTGTTGTCTCAGCGTTTTGGCATGACGGAAGGAGCAGCAACAAAGCCGGCTGGGGAGAGATGGGAAGGTGAGAAAGAAGCACAATTCTTGGGAGCAGGTTCTATCCATGGGACCGACTCCTGTGTGGATTTGAGTCCATACTCCATAGTGTATAGGAGCAGATTCAATGGCTATAAGACCAGTATAGAACCGCTGATTGCGGACACTTCAACGATTCTGATTCTACGATTTTATTCAGTAGAGTCTATGTTTCTAAAATTTTGATGTTCACGATCTTATGATTACTATCCTCCCTAAGGCCCTGTTCGGGTGCAGTATTTTGGATTTTGAGAAAAATGCCATGGTTTTGTGAAATACTTTGGTTTTAGAGTACCATGAAGTGTTAGATGCAACAAACTTTATGGTTTTAAATACCATGAGGTTCTAAGACTGAAGTTTCTTGATACTACAGTTTCTTAATACTACAAGATCCAAACAAGGCCTAAATCTCTCCGATTCGTTTTAGAATCTAAGATTTTGACAACCTTGCTGTAGCCGGGCTGCTCCCACATGTTAAAGCATAGCTGCGGAGGCTGGAAATGGCACATTCTAATTAATCTTGTTGTATGACACATAGGAAACAGGATATACAGGATTTATCATACCATATTGTTTTAATTAGGATGGGGCCTCTGAGATAAGAACATTCTGTACATGTAACTATGTAAGAACTTTCTAATCTAAATTTTAATAAGAGGAGATTGTCCTTTTTTTTTCTAAAGTTGCAGGTCAAATGAGGACATGGGATCAAATCATAAGCTTCACAATTTTTCTTTTACCTCAGGAAGTCCAAATGTCCTAGGTGCCTCCTTCTGCTCCAGCAGTAGTGGCTGCTGCAACAGCGATTGATAATTTCCATAGCTACGTATGTTAGGGGCAGGGGGCATCGGTGTATACACAGGGTTGAAGGGTCCAGCCCACTTGTTGAAGCATTGCGGCGGTGGCTGGAGTGGCACATTCTAATTAGTATTGTTGTAGGATGGTTATTCAAAATGGGCACATGGTAAAACGTAAACAATGGATCTGAAATACATCATACCGGATTATTTTGATGGGGCCATGATGAGTACCCAATGTAGACCGGCTGCTCCCACCTGTTAAACCATAGCTGCGGAGGCTGGAAATGGCTCATTCTAATTAATCATGTTGTATGACACATAGGAAACAGGATATACAGGATTTATCATACCAGATTGTTTTGATTAGGATGGGCCTGCGAGATAAGAACATTCTGTACAGTACTCTGAGCTCCATTTCGTGCGTGGTTGACTTTCTCAGCCGAGAGCCTGAGGAACAGAAAATTCGTTTATACAAAATAGCTCAAATATCAGCTAAAACTAATGAGCGATAGCTTTCAGAATACTCAAAGTTTTGCTAATTTCAAACAGATCGTCATTGCACATATATTCAAAGAACATAGTACGAAACCTGCCTTGGGCGTTTGTTCTCAGACTCATAGGAATCGGTCTCACCCACATGGATCTACAGACACAAGGGAGGAAGCTTTAGCTCATGGGAACTGGGAATTCTTTGAAATAAGAAGAGCAGGACATGATAGAAAATACTTACAGCAGTATTGTTTGGCTCATTGGCAGAGCTGCCCATCAGAGCAATCTGGCTTGCTGAGGTTTCAATGCCTACAAAAACTGGTAAACTCATAAGCAATGCCATACAGCCATAGTCATAAAGAGAGACTCGGTAGTGCTCTTTGCACACTCATATGGACTGCAAAATAGCACGCAGTTTGTAATTATCCTCTCACCCAAGCATAGAATCATTTGAATTCTTGGATAAGCATTAGCACAGAATTAATTTTTATCTGCTGAAAAATCTGGCTGCCCAGCACAGATTAAGATTAGATTCTACAGTGTAACTATGAACCAGCAGATAATAATATACCCTTACACGACGTAATTGTAAAAAAAGAAACAGATCATACAAGATTAAGATATGGCCATAAAGGCATGGTACAAAAACCAGGCATATCCGTATTTCTCACAGCAGAAACCACGAGTACCATATGTAGCTCTGAACACCATAATAACAAAGATATGTATTATGTGGAGCGTGAAAGCGTCTAAGCAGAAAACAAGATAATTCGCCAACAGTGTTGTACATAACCACTGAAAAGGTATAACAAATGAACAAGATAACTCGCCAACAGCGTCACAGAACACAGGTGCTCACAAGTCACAAGCATGTTGATAACAAGAAAGAAGGTCAGCAATTACCTGGAGTCATTTTCAGATGGTTTGCCAATGCACAGGGATGCAATATCTGCCACGGAGAGGAATATAAATATTTTCCAAAAGGATGCGATCTACGTGCTTCCACTTTCAGTGCCTTCTTCTCCGCAAGGTCGACAGCAACCAGCGCCCCTCCACCCGATGTACTGGTTGACTTGAGGTAAAGGATGTCATTCCCATCTGTGCTCAGGGTGGGCCAAGCCGATGACAGGTTCTTGAATGTCAGTCTCCAAGCAGATTCACTCTTCTCGATGGACAGCAACGCTGAAAACACCGAGTCATCGACCAAAATGTCATGAACATCAACAATGCGTCCCTTGCGCCAACAGTTGGACCCTATGTTCCTAGTCCATGTCATGGCACTCCAACCATCCACTGAGACCTCTATCCTGGTCTTGGGTTTCATGGGTTTGTCATTGACCAGCGTGATCAAATCTGAATCGTAGAGCACATCGTTGGTCCTGGGGTCAACCGGCTTCTCAGGAGGAACGTCGTCTGGGATCTCTCTTTCGATCTCACGGTGTTCCATCTCAATAAACTTGATCAGACCATTGACGCAGGTGAGATCGCGAAAGCGCCTAACTCCTAGTCGGAATTGCTTCACTCGTTCTCTGTTTTTAGGCAAGGGCTCAGGCAATGGGATGTACTCAGCATGAAGGGGTTCTCGAAGGACGTCTCATACCAGAATGCCTCGCAGCAAATCAACCCATAACAGCAAGCCATCTCGGATCACGAACACCTTGTCAGGTATAATAAGGATCTGAGGACATGGATTGGGCAGTTCCTTAGTCGTCCATGTTGCATCCTCAGACGAGTAGATGTGAAGCCGGTAATTATTCATCTTCAGCACGCGACGGAGTGCAATCAGGAGATAATGGTCATCATCACCACGGGGCACGATTGCGAACTCCACTCCACGCAGGCTATAATCATCATCTGGAAGCGGGAGGCTTTCGAGGGACGGGGACTTGGGGTCGCCCTTGTACATGAAGTATTCATACCGGCAGTTGCCGCCGAAGAGGGCGCTGAGAAGAACGAATCTGCCCTCTGCACCCACCACGTATGGGTGAATACACACATCGCCTCCCTTGCAGACGGGGATGGGGGTAACCCATGACTGAATTTCCAGGTCGGCGTCGGGGATGGCCATGGAGGGCTTGCAGTAGAGGGTGTAGAAGGACACATCCGGTGGATCAGCGGTCCAGAAGGTGACCTCCACGGTAGAGTTGCCCCCCAATCTTTTGGCTCTAGCCGTGGTGTTGTTCCTGCTGAAGGCGATGTGCGCCTCCTTGGCGAGGAGAATCGACGCCGGCGAAGGGGAGACGTTCCCGGCGCCGCTCGATCCGGACGCCATCACGATTTCGGCCGGGTTTTGGGGGGATTGAAGGAAGCGCTCGAGGATTTGGGTTTAGGGTATGATCAACCCTCGGTCGGTATGTGAGTATATTTCGTATTTTTCATTTCTTAGCCCTTTTTTCGAAAGTTTTCTCACAAATATACCCCTGCAGGTATGATTTCAAAATCTGGACCCAAGCTAACACGGCAAGGCGCCAGTACCTTTGGCGTGAAGCCCCTTGTACACGTGGACAACGCCTGCTGATCTGGCAGAGGGCTTGGCGCCAAGATCCATGGCGCCAAGCTTGGCGTCAAGATCCACGGCGCCAAGCTTTGCGCCAAGATACATGGCGCCAAGATGGGTATTTTAGCCCCACGCCCAGCCTTGCTTCCCGAGCCTTTTCCCCTTCTTTCTTCTTCCTCTCGCGTTCTTGCTCTTCTCGCTTCGCCCTACCTCACGAATCGTCGTATTGGAGCTTGAAAACTTTGATTTGTTCCGTGGATCTCCGAGAGCAAGGTATCCTTGCTCCCTCTTTGTATTTTTCACATCGATTCGGTATGTAGCAGTCGCTTTTTTCAACTTAATAATCGTCATTACTTAGGGTTTCTTGTATTTTTAAATTTTATATTATACAACCTTAGGATGCCAAGGCATGAAAAAGCTAGCAAACCAAGGTAACGTTGTGATGTTATTGGTACGTTGTTGTGGATCAAATGGGAAACTCTAGGTGTAGGGTTTGTTGTTAATTGCTTTCGATTCTTAGAACGAAAATGGCTACATTGTAGTTATGGCCGGATGACCGGAAATTCGTTCGACCCATTGCCTCTGCCCAGTGGTGTTCCAGTGCCCATGTGCTTTTGTGGCGACCCTTGCAAGGTGGCCAAGTCCAATGAAGAGGATACATATAGGCAGAGGTATTGGATGTGTTTCAATTTTGCGTTTGAGCCTACACTTCGTCAGCGCCGCATTAACAAGATGGTGAGGAAATGATTGCATGTTATGTTTATTTTTTGTAATATGACATCTTGTATGATTTTCTTATTTTGTAACAATTGCATTGGTTGTAGACCCCTCCACCGCTCTGTGATTTTGAGCAGTGGATCGACACTGAGATCAAGCCTGAAGACAATGAATGGATGCAGAAACTGTTGCGGTGGGAGGCTGAGGACAAGGAGATGATGGCGAAGAGACGCAGAGAGGCGGCTGCAGAAAAGGAGCACAAGGAAGAGGAGAAAATGAGGCGTGTTGCTGCGTTTAGGGAGGATAGGGAGAAGAAGCTTGAGCGTGTATGCCGAGCTAAAGCAGCGATGGAGGAGAATCTCGATGCCCTAAGGAAGGGAAAGTGGCCTCGTTGCACTCAGTAGTTCTTAGATTTCGTAGTTGTATGGTTATTACTGAACAATGTTATCCGGTACTAGAATTTTCATTGTGTTGTCTTGTATTGCGTTTGAAGTACTGATGGACTGTACCCTTGTACTGAACTTATTAGTTTGTTGTCGTGTACTTAAATTTGCACTGTCTTTATCATTGTAGCATTTTCAGTGCCATTAAATTACAACAGTACTAGCCTTTTCAGTGGCATTAATTTGCAACAGAACTAGCCTTTTTAGTGGCATTAATTTCCAATTGTACTAGCCTTTTCAGATGAAATGACTAAACATAGTTGTAGGCTTTTCAGTTCTAGCATCTAGGTTTTTTAGTAGCTTTTTTAGATTCAATAAATGTACTTTGCAGACTTAAGTACTTATATTTTACAGTTGTTTTGCTTGGTACAATTATTGGTGAACCTGGCTTCGGCTATATATGCGTAGTGCTCCTTCTTTTGCTCCATACCCTCAACACAAGTGTTCTGGTTGCTTTGGAGTTGCAATGTCTGGTGGAGGCTCCTCTAGCGGAAAGTGTGTAGGCAAAGGGAGAGGAAAGGGGGGGAGCAAGGGACCTCCCATTATGTGGGATGGTTCTCTTGGTCCAGACTTCTTTGATGAGCCATTAGATGAGTTTCCTTTGGAGAGCAAGAGTGATTTCACCAACGAGGCACCTCTTAGAGGTTATGATAACCGGAAAGAAGACTGGCCAAAATGCCGCCACGGTCAGGATTGCTTAGTGCATATGTGCAACGACGCTGAAGGTGGCGGTCGTCGTTTCTTCAGATGCCCGCGAGGATGGGTATTTGTTATGAACTATATCTTGTTGCAAATATGTTTATGATGTGTAGTAGTACTTATAGGAGAGACTGATGGGTATTTTAGGATTCGAGCTGTGAAGAGAACTGTGGCTACACTAGATGGGTCGATCCTCCACCTATTTATCCCCATCGCCAATACATCTTGTACCTACAGGGACGCGTTTTTGACCTAGAAAGAGAGGTTGAAAGTGTTACCAAGGACGGGGAGGACGATGATAAGAGCGATGGTGTCGAGGAGCCACTATGCACTGATCTATATTGCCAATGCCCTTATCACAAGAAGAAGGGCCCTCCTCCGCCACCACCACCGCCACCAACAATGGGAGGGTATTGTGGAGAGGGCGCAACTCAGTTTGCTATGTGGGAACATTATTAGTAGTAACCTGTTTTAGTCCTTTTCAATGTTGATGTTCCGTACTCTTTGAATTCCCTAAGGCATGTTATGTTTAGTTTGCGGCTTCTTTATCCTGTTTCTGCAGAGGGCGCCACATGCCATTGCTAGTTTTGCAATGTTAGTTCATGTACGGTGGTCTAATTGAATGAATGAAGTACTTTTGCCGGCTATTCATCTCTATGTATTGAAAAAAACAATTTAAAGAGTTGCTTAGTGGGTGATGATGTGGATATTTGACGGTGACATAACAAATAGATTACTTAATTAACTGAGAAAACTGATGTCGCTGAGTAATACGAACTCCAGGCAGAAAATTTCAGCATAATTTCCCCTCTTTTGGGCTTCAATCCATACACAATTACAAGATGAATATTTAACCTCAATACAACATGTTCAAACATAGAAATATATGCCACATTCATCTGAGACCATACACATGAGTAGTTTAATAATCCACACAGTCCATAAATATAGTCCATAGAGTCCTCAAAAGTTCATAATGAAAGTCCACAAAGTCCATAATATTACATAATAACATGTGCAACGAGCCGTTACTGCCTCCTACTCTTACCCTTACCCTTGTGATCAAGAGCATCGGTGCCCGGAGTGTAAGGGTTAGGAGGACGTCATCGCCTAGTGCCTGAAGGCTGTGTACGCTGAGTGGAGGGAGCGTCGTGGAGCTGAGACGGGCCAAGCTCATCGTGCCTATGGTCCACGTCATCGTCCTCGTCGTCGTCGTACGCAAGGCCAGTGGACCCTATAGGTGCTTGGCTAGACGAACCTGGTCCTCGTCTGCCTGTGGAAGGAACGTGCACGTCTTGCGTCGTGCCTGTCCTGCAACCACAACGACCAGCCGCACGGCGTAGCCGACGTGACAGTCTCTGTTGTACAAAATTATGTTAACTGAAAGAATTTAACGTATTAATAATGTATTTGAAAGAATATTTTTAATCTTACGTCTAGGAAGGTACGAGTCTCGTCGTCCCTAACCCTCGGGGCGAAAGCGCTCAATGTTTTCAACAGAGCATTTGAGGGTATTGCCCTGCAACAAAGTTCCCAGTAAAAATGTGCTTGTGTGTTGCCTCCTCCACAAGCAAACATAAACATATAATTATTGATATCAAACTTAACATAGAAAAATAAGGTAATGGACTTACCACTCTGTCCAAGATTGGTCCTGCCTCCACCTGCCTTCCTTCACGAGTGGATTGGTCGTACGTCGTGTCTTCATCGTTGGAGGACTCGATGTTGGCGTAGTCATCTTGTGTCCATTGAGGCCTCAACCTGCAACATGTCGCACCTTGGTACCAAGCTTGGTAGTTCTTGTACTCACGATCTGTGTGTGGCAAGTTATTTTCGTCGAGGTTGTCGTACCAAAGCACCCATTCGTCAATGTAGTGCTGGTGGTGCTTCTCCCAATAAAAAATCTTCCTGTTCTTCTTGCGATCCAACCTGCACGCCACTTTCGATGTTAGCTTCTTAGGGATGAAATTGATGCTAAACAACGACAGCGCCTACGCTATATCAGAATTAATGGAAATGGACCATCTCGAGACAATTGAAATATGAAAACACTTACTTGTGTAAGTCGACGCTAGTCGAGAATGGAGCCGGTGGCCAAAGCTGTCTCACTCCAAATTGGCGTGCAACTCTCTGTGGGAGGTGAAACTCGATAGCATAGAAACAGATCAGAGGGCACCTCATCCTATAGAAGTCATCGTTGCTCCAACAAATGTTGCTCAATTAAAAAGGAAGTGCCCCCTCTCCATCATACGGCTCCCAAGACACCTACAACATGTCCACAAAAGATGTCAGAAGCTATACTGAACCATTTGAAAGTCGCAACAGGAAATTAAATTTACTTACACTTGACGCCGTGAGCGCGTCTATCTCGTTCATGAACTCTTTGTAAGCCCGATCTTGGTGCGCGTGCGGAACCTTAACCTGGTCCAATAAGTACGCCCAAGTCGGCTGCCAACTTGGAGGCTGACCTAGGAACCAATCATGACGATCTAGAACCTCGGGACGGCCAACTGGTAGATGAGCCCACATCCACAACTGGAGCAGGTACACACATCCACCAACTGACGATGAGGACATCGTCCGACGACACGCCTCGCAAAGCTGGTGGTAAAGAAAAGCCAACACTGTGGAGCCCCAGCTGTACTGACCCGCCTGGTCCCAATCAGTAAGGCAGTGAACCCACATCCATGAAGCAGTGTCACCAGTGCCGTCGGGGAAGAGAACACAGCCAAACAGGTGTAGGATCCACGCCCTGCAGTAGTACCCAACTATTTCCGCATCGGCCTTCTCGGGGCACTGTGCGAACTATCTGCCGGATCCAGGAGATTAGAACTCTAGAAGTGTGAGCCCCTTGCTCGGGAACCTCACGCCCAAGGAAGTTCTCAACTCGTGCTCTCCAACCTTCTGACCTGCACT